GACCAGAGAGAGACAGAGGTTGAGAGTGAGAGAGAGAGGAAGTGAGAAAGCAAGCCACCAGATTCAGGACTTGAACCCTGGTCAGTCATGTGGGAGTTTCCAGCGCCTTAATCACCACACCACCTGCTGGTCCCAACCAGGTATACTTTTAAGCTACTTTGGTCGACTACATGGGAGGCCAGTGCCATCAGCTGGTCCCAAGGATTTGTTTTTCGGGACCAGCAGTTAGCGTAATGGCTATGTTGCTGGACTCCCATGTAGTCGACCACGGTTTGAGTCCTGGACCTGGTGACTTAAACTCATGCTGGGCGCATGTGCGTGTGTGCCCAAGATCCCAAGAGGAGAATGGAGGAGAAGGGATTGCAGCGTGGCCATCCCCTCTGGGGGGTGATTTCTCGCTTTCTGTCTCTCTGTCTCTGTCTGTCTGTCTGGCGAGCCTACGCGCCCTATAGCGAAAACCTCAAAAAAACCCAAAAAACCCAAGGATTTGTTTTTCTAACCACAGTCAGCCATGTGGGACCTGGCTTTCCATGTTTAAGGCCTAACCTGCTGTATCATCCTCGTTCTTAACTACTGCATAGTATTCTGTGGTTAATGTCTCTTTTCATGATTATTGATCTGAAGGTATTTTGATAGTGGAAGTCATCTGAAGTAAATGGTTTATAGTCCCAATGATTTATTTCTTAAACTCTTAAACAAGTAATTATGCTGTGTACTGAGAATTTTCAGATTTGTTAATAGTACACAAGTTTAATAGCCTTTATGTTAAAGGTTTTTCTTTTTTGTTTTTTAAGAATTGTTTTATTTATTCATCGTTATTTAAATGACAGGGCACGTGCACTCACCAGAGAGGAAGGGAGAGAGGGAAAGTGAGCAAGCAAGCTTCTAGGTCTGGTACTCAAACTGAGGCTTGCCATGTTGGGGTCCAGCACCATAGCCACCACACCACCCCTAAATATTTTTTTGAAACAGTTTCACAATATATTGCCCAGGCTAGCTTCAAACTCAAAATCCTGTTAGGCCAGCCAGTAACATGGTCTTTAAGGTGGCTGGATCCCACATGGCTGACTTCGGTTCAAGTCCTGGTCCTGGCGATGAAAAACATGCTAGGTTTGTGTCCAAAATGTTGAGTGGAGAATGGAAAAGGAGGGGGTGTAGTGTAGTCACCCCGCCACCCCCAGAGTGATTTCTCACTTACCCTCTCCTTGTCTCTCCTTGCTCCTCTGTCCTGTGAGTGCATGAGCCCCATAGCAAAAGAAAAACCTGCCTCAGCCTCTCGAATAGCTGGGATGACAGGCACGTGTCACAAGCCCTGGCTGTGATTTTTACACAGGTGAATGTATTCAGAATGTTCCGTGTTTCTTTAAACCACCAAGAATGTTGAATAACATCTTACAACCTTGCCTCTATCGTACCATCTAACCACCGTTTGTGTTTGTTGAAGGCTATGAGGACTTTATTACCTGCTCTAATCAGATGAATTCCCCTTTCGGAGACAAAAGTAAACTGGAATAGGTCACCATTCTCTGGTTCTGCTTACACAGAGGTCTGAGATGGCATGAGCTGGCCACTTTGAGAAAAGACTTCACAAGGCTGGTGCTTAGGTACAGTGGTAATGCAGGAGAAGCCAGATCCCATGTGACCATGGTTCGAACCTCTGGCCCAGGCAGCCTGGAGCACACAGCACGGGCTTGCCCGAGACCTGGAGGGCCGGAGGAAAGGGTTGTAGCATGGCCCTGTGGAGGGTGGCCTCTCATGAGCGCATGCTCCTGCTCTGTCATGAATAAAGAAAATTTAGAAACCCTTCCAAGTGCCTAAACCTGCCTGAAACACTACATTCGTTAAAGGGTAGCTTTCGTTTTAATTTTACAGGGTGCGTGCACTTGCTGAAGGAGGGTGGGGAGAAATCACTCCCAAGGGAAAGGCCACTCCACAATTCCTTCTCCCTTTTTTTCTTGGGATTTTGGTTATGCACACACACATTCCCAGCATGTTTCTCAGGCCAGGCTAGCTCTGTGTGTGTGCGTGTGTGTGTATGCATGCATGCGTGCACTCTAGTCCCGAGGACTGGGTTCTTGAACTGCAGAGCTGGCCACATGGGATCCAGCTGCCTTAACCACCATGCTACCAACTGGCACAAGTGGTTACCTCTTTTTTTTTTTTTTTTTTTTTTAGGTTTTGTTTAAGTGCACTCACAGGAGAGACAAAGACAGAGAGGCCTAAAGTAAGAAATCACCCCCTGACGGGGGATGGCCATGCT